CCTAAAAATCGGTAAGCGCACGTGAAAAATCAAAATTGCGCGCAAACTTCTGTAAGCTTATTTTTCTTTCTGGTATCTGGAAGAGATTTAACTTATCTAATCAGTCAAAGCATAACGACTCGAGACAAACTCCACGCTATTCAAAACCTCAATTTTCCCGCTTAAAACCAACTTCAGGCCGGTTCTCCAGGGGTGTGATCACGCTGTTGAAAAAGGGCAAGGGTGTTGGGGGGAAACTAGACGACTACAGGCCCATAACTCTGCTAAACACAGAGTTAAAGATTTTGGCCAAGATCCTGCAGGAGCGCTTGCAGTCAGTTGCCGAGTCTCTGTTAGGTCCCGAGCAGACCTGTGCTGTGAGGGGTCGAACAATTCAGAGCAACCTGCATTTGATCCGCACGATCATAGAGGGAGTAAAAAACGACGACGAGGCCGCGTTGATCAATTTGGATCAGTCCAAGGCATTTGATAGGGTTGACCATCGCTACCTTGCTACTGTCCTGCAGACCGCCGGATTCGCACCCGACTTCTGCCGCTGGATTAGCCTCCTGTATCGCTCCCCCGGTACTGTGGTACAGGTGAACGGGAAGCTGTCGGGCGCTTTTGCGCTGTCTAGATCGGTTCGTCACGGTTGCCCGCTGTCGCCCCTACTTTACGCTTTGGCGTTGGAGCCTCTCCTTCGCCGTCTGAGGGAAAGGGCGTGCAGTCCGGACCTACGCGGAATCGCCGTTCCTGGCGGGGCTCGAGTCAGGGTTTCCGCGTACGCCGATGACGTATCTGCTTTCGTGTCGTCCCGCAGAGACATTGAGGCGGTACTGAAGGCGCTTGATCGGTACGAAAAGGTGACAGGGGCCAAGATTAACCGCGACAAGTCGTCCGGCTTGCGGCTAGGTGCCTGGAAGGGGGTCGATCTTCCGGGGCCCTTCGGTTGGACGGACGGTCCTGTCCACATTCTCGGAGTGTGGTTTGGACCCAACCTCCAGCTGAAAAAGAATTGGTCTGATGTACGAGTAAAGGTCGACGCCGCCGGTCAGCCTTGGCGTCGACGGAGGTTGTCCGTGAAGGGCAGGGCGGAGGTGTGTGCTACATACATTTCCCTCTTGTCCTTTATCGATTGTCCGTACTTCCTCTCTGTGACGACCATAAGAAGCCGCTCGAGCGCTCGCTATCCTCCATCTTATGGAGGGGACACGGGAATCGGGTCGACAGAGAAGTCTGTGCACAACGTCCGTGTCATGGGGGGCTAGGAATGCCACACTTGCTGAGCCACAAACGTGCCTCGAGGTTGGCTTTCTTACGCCGCGCGTTGACAGGTGGAGATCCGATTATTGAGGGGATTGTGAGGGCCGTTTTCCCTCGCCTTACCATCAGTTCCCCAAGCTCGCGGATGGATCGCCGTCGTAAACCCCGGGTTCAATCGGTTTTCTTTCGCGAGTGTCGGTCGGCCTTGTTGGCTGTCCCTTGGTCCAGTGACCTTTCTCGGCCTAGGAAGGTCTTCTATCGTTTGTTAGTGGAGGGGGTCGCGAAGGATTCCCTACGTGAGGATCTCGACTTGTCGGAATTTCGCTCTTACTGGTCTGGGGCGCCAGACCGGCGGATTATCTCAGTAACCCTGAGTTTTCGCTTACCTGGCGATTGGCTCGGAATCGGCTGCCTCTCAATGACAAGGTCTTCGTATGGGGTTTGGCGGATTTGCCAGACTGTGAACGGTGTGGCCTTGGTTTAGAAGAAATGGCTTCGCACGCCTTCTACCATTGTCCTCGGGTCCGCCCCCTATGGGACCGTGTCGGCGAGCTGACGGCTCGTCTCGCTCCCGAAAAGCTTGTGCCCATTGATCGCGCATATGCGTGTGACAATGTGTCGCCCCCGTATTCCGGGGTGAAACGGATGGTGTTTCTCACGCTGCTAGCCACGGCTCGAATGGTGATTTAGACGACGCGACAGGAGGAAGTCTTGCGAGGCAACCCTCTTTCTCATCAGGATCTGGCCCGATTCTTTGAGCATCAGCTCAAGATGAAGATTAGAACCGATAGAAAACGATTGCATTCGACAGTCTTCAGCGAAAGGTGGGTGAAAGAGGCGAGCTTGGTTCGTTTGAACGGGGCTAGCATTGATTTTCTCTTTTAGGTCAAGCCTACGTCACATCGAGGTGGTTTCCTGAGGAGTCCACCCCCTGGTTAGGTTAGACAAGCTTTGGTGTACCTAATTAATGTGAGTAAATGTGCTTCCCGGCTCCTTCCTGGCCACTTCTTTGGTTATGATCCAGTTTGAGATTCCCAACCTCCCGAGTTTGTTTTTTGGCCCCACTTTTTATCTCGTCTGGGTCAGCGTTATATTCTCCCATGCCCGTACGATTTTTCTTATCCGTTCCCCACACCCTTAGTGAGAGAGCTTCTTGATTTTGTCCCATGGGCAGAATACAGCGGCCTCTTTGTTTCTGAGGGTTGGACGGACCCTACTAACATCAGTTATGTTCAATTTGACTTATGTTTATATTTTCAGTTTATTATTGGGTTCATCTCCTCCGCTCTCATCCCTCATCACGAGAGTTTTATATGTATATAATTATCATTAAATTTTTAATGGCATGGGGCGCGTTTTGTAGGCCCCCCTTGTGAGGATGTGGTATTATGATGTAAAGAGGATTGATTGGTGATAGATGATTTCTTGTGGTGAGTGGGCAAATTGTAATGAGTGAATGGATCGTGAATCGGATTAGCTAGGTATAGGATAGTCAGTGAAGACCAGCCTCAACCCGTCCCCTCTTCAGGCCTTGTGCCACAATTGTATTTTTCGATACAATAAATATATAAAACCAACTTCAGGCTCAACAACGTGTTGGCACATTAATTCTCTCTCTGCTGAACTAGATCTCACGAACTCCGAATATTTTGCTTTCAGAAAGTGATATAAATTTTATTCACTACCAATTAAGTAAAATACCAAGCAGACTCCCATTGTGATTAACAGTCAAGGGTACACAACTTTGTACGACATAAAAAAGCAATTATTCAAAACAAACAAGCTTAATAATACATTACAAGTTCAAACATGGCAGCATTCAAGCTGTAATTAAAATTCACACTCAATTGTATATTCTGTTAAATTGTATATAAATGATTGCATTGTTTGATATGTCTTTTTGCCTTGTTTTATATTTCATTTGCGTAGAATATCTTATTTTTTAACTTTTGTTGAGGATGAATATTTTCCTACACACTAAGCAAAAAGATACCTTCTGATTCATTCAAATTCTTTTGATAAAAACCAAAAATACATTCGCAAGTCCCCAACAATGTCATCGTCATCATCAAAACTATTTTGATTTGAGGTCATGAATTAAAATGTTCTCTCATCTTCAGTGCCATTGTATACTGATTCGACAATAATTTGCCAGCCTTCTCTGTCTTCTGCAAATTTTTGGATTCTTTGCAGATCTTCCCTTGATTGTAAATGTCTCCAAAAGAAAATTGGAATCTTTCTGCTTTGTTCTTTGAATATATCGGTTCAGCATCGATGTACATTATTTCGCCAATTACTGTTGACAACAAATCCGTTTCTATAATGTTTGCATTCTGTCTCTAAACATATCAGTTGGCGTTTGTTTTTGCCGATGTTACTGTTCAGACCAGGTCCAATTTTTGTCTCTTGTAAGCGACACACCTCCACTTTGTACTTTTCTACGTCTATAGCTAACTGCTCTTGCTTCTCGCTCTAAGTCAAACTACATACATTGAAAGTTTCAACGGAAAAGATCCATGACGTTGGAAATTCAATAGCATTCTCCGAATATTGTCTTTCTCAGTATACAACGTCTTAAATAAGTAGTTACTGCGTATCATTAACTGGAACAGCCATTTTCTACTCCGCCAACTCAACTTGAAATGCTGTAACAACGCTATTTTTTTTTAAAAATAAGCTGTTAGGGGATAGCAAAAAAATTCTTTATAGTTACTTTGTCCAAAATTTTAAACTAAAGCTCTCGAAAAATGTCTTCAAACTTATATTTATTTTAGTCATTAAACAAAATTTATTGAAACAAAACAAGTACAGTTGACCACCGATGACAATTCCAAAACAATGTAACTATAAACAATTTTTTTCTAACCTCTGCCAGCCGCAATGATGGAGAAAGCATTACCTCGAACCATCTCCAATGAGACACGCTGCAAGAGCCACTCCGTTTCGCGAGACTCGTCCCTTAATCGAGACGCAATCCTAGCAATCCTCCGAAGGAACGCCATTGAACGAGGGCCAATAACCACTGAAGTCTCTACTGATACAGGAGCAAAAAAAAATCTATCAGCAAGAGAAGAATATTTAACTATTTTGTTCACCTCTGCGTCCCGGGCGACGGACCCCGGCTCAACCGCGGAACTGACCAAATCACCGGCCGAAAATGCATCTGCACAGGTCGCATTCCAAATCAACGACTTCTCCATTTTAAAAGGGAAAATAGTAATGCCATCCGGCCGCCCTCCATCACCGCGGTCGAGGCCCACGGGCTCGACCCGGGAAGGGAACCCAGCTTCACCCAAACCTCCTTTGATGATGTCGTTAATGGCTGCATGCCGTGGAAGGGGGCGGGTACTATGACGACAGGAGAGAGGATGCAAACCAAACTCATCGATAGAGGCTCCACATTTGCATCTGTGACGCTCACATAATTTGAGTCCAAGACGGATCCCGACTCCGACTCGAGTGCACTCATCATCCAGAAGGGTTCCGGTAGATGAAGAGGGCACTGCGTTGAGCCAGGCAACACTACTCGGCTGTGAAGCAGATAGTAGACAGGAGAGGTGATGCTGATCCAGAGAGAGCCTCAAATTAGTAAAGTTCGCCTCACATTTTATTTTATCCCAGCTTTTTTTTTATGTGTCTAGTGGAAGAGAAAGTAATTCTTGGGCCCAGACGCAGCAAACTTGTTCGAAAGAACTACCCGAGAAACACTGAGACAAACCACCGAGTATCTCACCAATCAACCCGTGACTGAACGAAAGTGAAGAAAGACATGCTGTGAGGGCCAAATCTACCGTCGATCGAAGGCCCAGGCCTGCGAAACTCAAAGGGAGCCCCACCCGCCTCCAGCCCGAGTCGTCGAAACCGACGTTGCAAAGAAGCTCCGCACATCTCCCAACCGCGACATCTATCCCATCCAAGAAATCCCGCTCGAGGTAGCAAGGGGCACTTCGGAGAGTGTAGAGGAAACTCGGTAGCGAAAAACTGTTATTTTATTTATTTATTTTAATTTGTTATTTTTCTTTAAATAATGTTAACTGTTAGATATCAGCGATGGAAGCGTGTGGCACGCCTTTTAAGATTTAACAATATACGTCACGCCTAACTGACGTCACTACACTATTTGCTTACGTCACAAAACACTTATTAATTCTACGATTTTAGATCCCATAGATAGAGGGAAGGTGGTAGAATGAAAAGAAGATATGACTTTAATATGACGAAAAGGCCAAACAAAGCCATTGGCCCCCTTTCATCCCGACTGGGTCAGCTTTATTGATTCCCTATGTCCGTCTATATTTTCTATTTTCCCTCTCCCTTGGCGAGAGAGCCTCTTGATTTTGTCCAAAGGCAGAATACAGCGGCTACTCTTTTTTGAAGGGTTGGACGAGTCCTACTAGCATCAGATATATTTATTTTTGCTTCGTTTTGATATTTAGTTTGTTTTGGGGTTCACTCCTCCCTTTCATGATCATTCATCCGATTTGTATATATATATATATATATATATATATATATATATATATATATTTATATATATATATATATAAACCTAGTGAGCCAGACAAACCTATCCAGGTTTCACCTAAGCGGTTAGGTGAAACCTAGGTAGGTTTGTCTGGCTCACTAGGTTTATCTAGGTCTGCTCTACGGTTGTATTGAGCGCTTTTGTTAGTTAGTTGTTTACTCGTATCGGGCTTTTTCTTTGGGCTTTAAATCTGTATCTGTGCGATTTTTTTCGACAGACTTTCATGTTTCTAGCTCTTTCTTTTTTTAAAAACCTTTATTTTCCCCTCGGGATTGATTTGATTATTTGCAAATCAAAAATTCGACAGTTTTCGAAACGAGTATAGTTACATATATATATATATATATATATATATATATATATATATATATATATATATATATATATATATATCATCTCATTGGGATGGTTTTTAAGCTCCTACCCCATGAGAGGATATGGTATTATGCTGTATGGAGGACTGATTGATGCCGGATGAGTTATGGTTAATGAGGAGATTGTAACGTGTGAATGGGTCGTGAATCCGATTAGCTAGGTATAAGATAGTGAAGACCAGCCTCAACCCATTCCCGCTTTTCGGCCTTGTGCTATAATTGCATTAATTTACAATAATTCTCAACAAAGCCATTAAAGTCTCAACTACACTATAGCGAAGTCAAGGACCGCTTGAAAAGCCTACGAAATGAGACAATAAGAGACACCTTTCTTCATTTGAATAAATACATAAGCTAGCTCGAAGACCACAATGTCCAAAAATAGGTTCTCAAATGTGTGGTGTAACTTGATCATGAATTATACTGCGATTAATATAAAATCAATACATTATTTCTGATATAAGAATCAATCGAAACAATCATCGTCATCATTTTTGTGATCGCTGCTCACCCGAGACTATGGGCAGCCCTCGCTTGCGTGCCATTGTCTGAATCTCTGTAAAGAATCTTATAGCCCGTTCAATGACGTAGCAGATCTAATTTCCTCCATATGCCGTGAAGGATGATTGTGGAGCGATTGTTGGCACCTACGACGTGTCCCTACCATATCGAGTTCTTGACCACCGATTAACCAGTTCTTTCAATGGACCTCTTTCTTGTTTGATGATTCCTCGCACTTTGATATTTATGGCATTGTCTACCTAGGCGGTGCCCGGGATGCCGCCGTGGTATCACATTTCTAATGCTTGTATTCTTTGATGAAATTCTACTCTGAATGACCCAAGATTCGGAGGGAGAGAAAGAAGAAAAAGAGGGTCATTGGACTTAGAGTCTGATCTATGATTTCAGGCAGATGTTGATAATGTCTCAGATTGTACTTAGAATTACGTCAGCTGGTGTTGTTTTTTTCCTGTTCTTGAGCTTATTTCGATTATACGGGTGTTGATTTGTGCATACTTACAATTTACGCACGCACAGGAAGTTGTCGAGATGCTTGAAAAAGTGATAATCGGTGGTCGAGAGGTCCGGTGAATATGGCGGATGAGGCAGAGTCTCGTAGCCCAATTCGTTCAGCGTCTGCAGGGTCAGTTGAGCAACATGCGGGCGAGCGTTGTCATGGAGGAGAATTGGTCCCTTCATATTGACCAATCTCGGGCACATACGTTGGAGCTTCTGGTGCATTTCGTCAATTTGTCGGCAGTACTTCCAGGCCGTAATCGTTTCGCCCGGATTCAAGAAGCTGTGATGGATGAGACCGGCCGCAGACCACCAAACAGTCACCATAACCTTTTTTTGGTGCAATTTCGGTTTCTCCGGCATCCAACCACTGTGCCGAACGTCGCCGGTTGTCGTAGAGGATCCACTTCTCATCACACGTCACAATCCGCTCGAGAAATGGGTCGTTTTTGTTGCGCAGAAGGAGCGTAGAAGACACCTCAAAATGAGGATCTTTTTGATTATCGTTCAATTCATGCGGCACCCATTTATCCAACTTTTTTGACTTCCCTATTTGCTTTAAATGGCGAACGACTGTTGAGTGGTCGACATCGAGTTCAACAGCAACTTCTCGGGTGGTTTTGCGAGGATCGGCTTCAATTAAGGCTTTCAAATGTTCCTTATCAACCGCAGTCGGCCGGCCGCGACCGTCTTCATCTTCGAGGCTCTCGTCACCATTGCGAAATTTCTTGAACCACCGTTGTGCCACACGTTCGTTAATGGTTCCTTGGCCAAACGCATCATTGATATCATGAGCTGTCTCGGCACCTTTTCGGCCTAGTTTGAACTGGAACAAGAAAATCGTGCGGGTTTGAATTTTGTCCATGCTGTCGAAAAGCCTGCAAAAAAATGAATGAAGAGATTGAGAACTGTAACGAATAACATGATTCGATAGAGCGAAAAAACGCGCTTCAAAATGATATATAACATGGCTATATATATATATATCAATGAATTAATTCAGAATTCAGAAATCATATATAAAAGTAACATATGTGAGAAAACGACATTATTTTTGCACCAACCTTATATATATATATATATATATATATATATATATATATATATATATCGAGAAAAAGATTGAAGTCAGTGAAAATCACTCAGATAGTCTTAATACCTGTGACCACAATTAATGAATCTATAAACAACTTATAATAATTTATATATATATATATATATATATATGTAGATTATAATTATTTTTTTAAAATATGATTCCATCGCTATATAAGAGTTCTCATGTTTCAAAAACAGAAGCTAAAAACTTCAATTTCATTTATAGAAATTAAATTAAATTAAAGCAGCTAGTTCTTTTTCATCCTCAAGAGAATTTTTAGTTTCTGTTTTTGAAACATGAGAACTCTTATGTAGCGTTGGAATCGTATTTTTAAAAAAGTAATTTTAATATAGGCTCTACTATTGTATCGAGCACTGTTTTTTAAAAAATAATAACAAAAATACTAAAGAACTTTGGATTATTAACCTAACTGTTCTTTCATATTTTTCTACACACACACACACACACACACACACACACACACACACATATATATATATATATATATATATATATATATATATATATATATATACATGTATAGAGAGAGAGAGAGTGTCTGTGTGTGTGTGTGTGTGAGAGAGAGAGAGAGAGACAGAGGCGACGAGACACTGAAGACATTGAATATACGTTGTTAATGCCTGTCGCCACAACTGACTAGATCTACAATCACATTATAATAAATTATAATAAATAGAGTAGGGATAGAGAGGCAATGGGAGAGAGGGAGGGGGAAGACAAAAGCATTAAAATAACAATCTTACAGTGTTTATATGTGTGACCAAAATGTTTACATCTAAAAAGCACTCACTCAGATATTAAGCACTATTCCAACATTAATATAACAAATGCTATCTATCTATTTATCTATCTATATATATATATATATATATATATATATATATATATATATATATATATATATATATATATTACAATAAACGTGCAATCAATTTACAAATACATGAATTATTCACACAAAACTAATGCAAAAGGTTAATGATTTTAAATGGCGAGACATCCATCTCGCAAACAATTCAAATATTACACAAAAACCTCAGATCCGTTATGAATGAATTGATCCTTGTTCATATAAATTTCTGCCGAATTAGTTGTTATTTTTACACAAGCTTTCGTCTGTTCCTACAGACATCTTCAGGTATATAATAGATGTTGTTCTTGTTTTTTTCTCTTAGTAATAAGAGGACACTAATACGGCAGAAATTTATATGAACAAGGATCAATTCATTCATAACGGATCTGAGGTTTTTGTGTAATATTTGAATTGTTTGCGAGATGGATGTCTCGCCATTTAAAATCATTAACCTTTGCATTAGTTTTGTGTGAATAATTCATGTATTTGTAAATTGATTGCACGTTTATTGTAATTTAAATATCTGATCCATGTGCGACTTTTGGTTAATAAGTGCGACATTACTGTAATTATTGAACAATATAGTTCATGCCACTTTGACAGTAAAATTTAGCAGTAAAATAATTTGTTCATTACCATATTCGGTATAAACGCAAACATTTAAAAAAAGAAAAAATTCAAAATCAAACTTAGCGTTGCTTTGGCGCGTTTCAAAAACCAATATCTCATTTTCAATAGCATTTCGGATACAATACACATATATTTTCGATGTCCTCTTATTACTAAGAGAAAAAACAAGAACAACATCTATTATATACCTGAAGATGTCTGTAGGAACAGACGAAAGCTTGTGTAAAATAACAACTAATACGGCAGAAATTTATATGAACAAGGATCAATTCATTCATAACGGATCTGAGGTTTTTGTGTAATATTTGAATTGTTTGCGAGATGGATGTCTCGCCATTTAAAATCATTAACCTTTGCATTAGTTTTGTGTGAATAATTCGTATTATATATATATATATATATATATATATATATATA